ACAAAAAAAAAAAAAAAAGGTACATATGGGTTTGATTGATTAACTGCCATATTGGGGGTCAAACCAGGGTCTCACACATGCTAGGCAACCACTCCCCCAGTGAACTATATCCCTAGCTCAAAATAAAGCTCAAAATATAGCTCAGTGGTAGAAAATTGCCAAGCAGGCATGAGGCCCTTGGTTCAGTCCCTCATGTCACCAAAACAAACAAAACATGACCACCATCACATTTTTTGTTTGTTCGTTTCGTTTTGATTTTGGTACCGGGGATCAAACTCCAGACCTTGCACTTGTGAGGCCAGCAACAACACCACTGAGCCAAATCCCCAGCCACCGTCACATTTTTTTAAAAAAGTTTTTGGTACCGAGGATCAAATTTAGGACCTTGCGCTTGCCAGGCAGGGATGGTGCCTCTGAGCTAAATCCCCCGCCCATACCATCACATTTTATTGTAGTAGTGTCTATTTATTTTGAATTTTCTTGAGTGTATAATATTACAGAGGAATTGCAAACTTGGGTGGAATGACTTCTTGACCCATGAATGCAGGAATTACGGGCAGTTCTTGGTTCTGATGCCTTCTTTCTTTTCCACTAGGCCTTCTCTACACAGAACCAGTCTGCTTTTATGAAGATGAGACAAAGGTAGAAAGTGTGGCAGCTGACTACCAGGCAGATTGTTACCAGGTAATAAGAAAGGATCTCCTGCTACAAAACAGAAGCCTTCCAGCGGCTAGACACATTTCCTTTGAGACATATTTGTCTCCAGAGCTTCTTAAAGGAAGTAGAACCTCATGCGAGGACTGGGTCCCCAGTTGAATTTCCCCATAGAATGGAGCCTTATACTGGTGAGGTGTTACCTTGAAAATCATTAAATCAACCCTTTGGCGGGGGGTGGGAGTGGGGAGGTGAGGCCTCTCCCACTCTAGGAAAGCACTCTACCACTGAGCCACATCCCCAGCCTTAATAAGTAATCTTGAGCCTCGTGGTGCCAGCCACGTATTGAGTGCCACGTGCTGAGTGCTCTGACAGATGGTAAGACAGGTGAAAATGTCCTCTCCTCGCAGAATTTATCCATTGGCATTTATCGCTTGTCTGCGGCGTGCTCAGGAAGAGTGTGCTGCTGTAGTAACAAATAGGACAAGAATCCTAGCCTGGTTGCGCTGTGATGAATTCAGGTTTATGAACGGATGCTAAAGGGTATGGCGATCGGAGGTACCACAGTGAGTGAGAGTGCAAAGAGAGAGAGGAGCCCTAGGATCAATAAGTCCTCAGAACCTTGTGGGCGCTTTAGCTCCCTTTCCTAACACTCCAGTAAGCACTGGCAGAACCACCGATTGGCTCAAACCGGCGTGTGTGTAATGGTTTAGGATTCAGTGACCTTTGACGACGTGGCTCTGGAGTTCACCCAAGAGGAATGGACTTTACTGGACCCAACTCAGAGAAACCTGTACAGAGAAGTAATGCTAGAAAACTACGAGAACCTGTCTTCAGTAGGTAAGACACCGGCGTTTCCTGTGGCCTGGCTGTGGAAGAAATACGTGCTTACTACTGTGTTGCACAGTTGGTCATATCAGTTCTGAGTACAGTGGCAAGTAACAGAGCCATAGTCTGTGCCATACTACATTTTAAACTGCTGCGGTGATTCTTCACTTGATCTTAGCCAAAAGGCCGAGAAGCGATTGCTGCGGTGATTCTTTTTCTTTAATTCATTCATTCATTCTATTATTCTTTTGCTAACTGGGGATGGAACCCAGGACCTTCACACTGAGCTACATGCCCAGACCTTGTTTATTTTTGATTTTGAAAGAGTCTCACTAAGTTGCCCGGCTTGCTAGTCTTCTCGCTAGTTCAGAGCTGGCTGTCCTCCTAACTCAGACTCCCGGAGTACTAGCCTTATAGTTGTACACCACTATGCTCAGCTACTGTGAAGACTTAAAATGTTATCAACAGCGTCCGTCTCCGCCTCTTAGGAACATGCATTTTTCTTCTCCACCTTTGATGGACTCCGTGGGAAACTGTAGGCTTGAGGCTCAGTCATTTTCTCAGGAGCCCTCCAGATTAGTCAAACACACTCTTAAGGTTTCAGAATCAGTGGCAAGAGTTATTTCCCTGAGACAGCAAGCATTTTTGTTACACTTTATTTTCTACTTAAGTCTTAGCGTTTTATAGTGTATAGAGCAGCCTGCGTTTGATTTTCAGGGGTTAGACATAAGCCATCTTTGGGGGGCCTGGGAGTGGGGATGTGTATTTGCTTTTTTCTTTTTGGCACTGATGATTGAACCCAGGGCTCACACAGGCTAAGTATGCTTTCTACTGCTAAGCTGCACCTCAGCCTCTGGCATTTACATTTTTACCCACTTGGAAATAATTACACTGCTTTCATTCGTTCTATATTAGTTCCATAGTTTCGTTAATTCCGTAGCCATAGGAAGGCTCGAGCCTCTTCACTCGTGCATCTTTTCACCTGTGCAGGATACCAGTTCTTCATCCCCAGTCTGATCTCCTGGTTAAAACAAGAAGAATTAAACACAGCAGAAAGCGGAGTTCTTCAACGTGAGTATTTGCGAAGACGAGCCCTATTTTAGGAGTTCGGTATGGTTTTGCAAATATAATGAAAGTTTTTTAAGGATTCATTTGGCTTCAGAAGATGGAAGCCATTTTTCTTACATTATAGAGCATCGTTGACTTCCCATAACACATTACTTTCTCTCCATTGAAACATTCTTAGGGTCTCACAAAACTACCTATTCTAGTCTCTCTTTATTATTTCAGTGTATGACCTTCTCCCAGATCTTTCTGACTTTCTTTTTCTGGTAACTTTCACTATAACTCTCTTAGAATCAATTTGTAATAAGCGATCTACCATGTTGATCCAAATCCTTATGATTGCCTTTATTGCCTGGATGAAATTTAGGGCCTCACTTAACACCAGGCAAGGGCTTTACCACTGAGCTACACCCCTAGCCCTGTTGCTAACTTTTTACTTTGGTTTTTGAGACAGGGTCTCACTATGTAGTTGAGACTGACCTGGAACTCACTATGTAGTCCAAGCTGGTCTTGAATTCACAGTGATCCTCCTGCCTCAGCCTCCCGAGTGCTGGGATGACAGGCGTGAGCCACCACGCCCGGCTCTTGTTGCCAACTGTTTAACATACCAAAATCTTCAAAGGTTTCTGTGCCTTTATTTTTCTTACCATGTTTAACTTGAGAACAAGGACAAAGGACCCTGATCACTTTTAACTCACTGTACATACGATTTATTTCTCCAAACCCTTATGTTTTTCTTTCTGTTTAACTTCAGAATTGGAGCTACAACCAGTAACCAAAGAATCAGAATTTGAGGATTATTTTAGGGAAGAAACTTCCAAAGACATGGAAATGGTAAGATTAGCAAGGGCTCTTCCTTTCTCTCCCTCTCTCCCTTTCCCTCCTCTTCCTCCCTCCCTCCCTCCCTCTCTCTCTCTCTCTCTCTCTCTCTCTCTTGTACTGGAGATTGAACCCAGGCTCTCACACATGTTGGACAAGTGGTCTACGACTGAGCTACATGTCCAGCCCAACAAAGGGTACTTCTTATGTCCCACTTTCAGCAAAGATGGGAAATTCCTTTCTAGCAAATCAGCGTATATGAGTGATGTGTGAGAGAAGTAGCTTGCACCAAAGAGGACGCAGTGCCTCGGGACAAACTCCGAATTATCAAGAATGAGAAGATGCTCCCAAACTATTGTGAAGATGATCGCCTCAGAATTCCCACAAAAACACATTCCGACACATGTAAATAGGCAACTGGTACTGGATTTTAAGAAAATCTAGTTGTTGTACAACTAGAGCCTGCAACACAAGATCCTGGCCCAAAAAAAATCCATCATTTACGTTGGAAGACATAAAGAGATCGGTGTTTATAAAAGAAATTGTAAAAAATCATTAGGATCATTGAAATGTTTCTACCTTTAAAATCTCAGATTTCATATGTTTGAGAAATTCCCTAATCCTCTTTTATCTCTCCGTCCACAGGGGAGAAGCCACAGGGGAGCGGAGCTCTACGAATACAAGCCTTACGGAGACGTCTTCAGTGAACAGTTTTTCCTTAACACACACGTGAGAACGCAAAATCAAGAATATACTTCCGGGTATATTTGGTGCGGCGAAGACATCCTTACTCTGCACCAGAAAACCTCTACTGGACAGAGCTTTTCTGAGATTGACCAGTATGGAAACATTTTCAGCCTAACTCCGAATATCGCATACCAGACGCCGTGCATGAGAAACAAACCCTTTGAGTGCAGGGACTGTGGGAATGCCTTTTTCAACCCGTCATACCTCCAGATGGGTGTGAGCACTCACGGTCAAGGGGGCCCCTTCGAATGGAAGAAATATGAGAGTGGTTACATTCACCCCACGAGCCTTGCTGTGCATCTTCAAATTTTCAATGGAAGAAACCCCTACAAAATGGAGGAATTTGAAAAGGGCTTTCAGTATTTTCCATGCCTTACGAATCCCATGGAAACCCACACCGAAGCAACGCTCTGTGAATGCAAGGAATGCTGGAGAGCATTTGCAGTTCCCACCCATCTAAGTCCATATGTAACAGTTCACCCTAGAGAGAAAAACAAAAAATGTAAGGAGTGCGGGAAGTGCTTTGCTACTTTTTCTCAACTCTCTGCCCATATAAAAACTCATAGTGATGAAAAGCCCTTTCAGTGTAAGGAGTGTGGAAAGTGCTTTAAAAATAACACATACCTTAACGATCACATGAGAATTCACACTGGAATAAAATCGTACAAATGTGTGGAATGTGGGAAAGCCTTCCTGAGGTGGTCGGGCCTGACTGAACACTTACGAGTTCACAGTGGAGAGAAGCCTTATGAATGTAAGGAGTGTGGCAAAGCCTTCTCCAGGTCCACTCAGCTAACTGAACATATCAGGACACACACTGGAGTCAAACCCTACGAATGTAAGGACTGTGGGAAAGCCTTCACTCAGTACTCGGGCCTCGCCACCCACGTACGCATCCACAGTGGAGAGAAGCCCTTTCAGTGTAACCAGTGTGGGAAAGCCTTCACTAGGACCTCAGGCCTTATTCACCATGTGAGAACACACACGGGGGAGAAGCCTTTTGAATGTGTCCATTGTGGGAAAACCTTTATCACTGCCTCCCACCGTACTAAACATATGAAAATCCACAGTGGAGAAAAGCCCTTTGTGTGCAATATCTGTGGGAAGGCGTTTGTGTATTCCACATCCCTTAACATTCACATGCGAACGCATACTGGAGAGAAACCTTACATCTGTAAGGAATGTGGGAAAGCATTTGCTGTTTCCTCACGCTTAAGCAAACATGCGAGAGTTCACCATGGGGAGAAGGCGTATAAATGTGAGGGTATCGGTGTTGCTATTTAGCCCCTCTGTTGCAACCCTTAAGTAGTAACAGTGACACCAAAGATCATCTGTCTTAACTGCTTTGTATGAGTTGTAATGGCTTCCACTGGCATAGATGCCGACCTAATGGTATGAAATACGATATGTATTTCCCCTGTGGAACTTTTGTAGCGCTGGAGATGAACCCCAGTGCCTCACGCATACTTGGCAAGTGATCTGACCCTGAGCTACATTGCCGAGCCCCTAGAACTGGTTCACACATAGCTGAGTGCTCTCGGGGGGGGGGGTCATAGGTGAGGTCACTGTTGTGCATCATCAGCCTCATTTGGTGCTTAGACCCCTAGTGAAGATAGCATTAATAAAAGCTATGCATGGGTGTCCGACCTTTTGGCTTGCTTGGGCCACATAGAATATAGTTAACGTATATAAGTAACAAGAGTCCCTTTATTTTTTTATATTTTGTATGATACTGTTAAAACAACACCAGCAGCCTGCGGGCTGCCGGTTAGACCTGCCTGCATGAGATAATTGGATAGATTCGGCCCTACCACTTGTTGGCTGGTGGCTGCGTGCAAAAATTTCCCGGTAGTTCCGTTGATACAGGAGCAGATGGGACTGCTGGAAGGCATTCTCCCGGGTGTCTTCCCCAACTCGCCTTGACTGTGCTGAGCGTACCCAGAAGGAAATGGTCCCTACCTTGTGCCGGGAAGGAAATGGTTAACGGCTGGTCCACACTTGCAGCCCGTTATCCCTGGTCTCGTATGAAATCGATTAAGGCCACCCTTTCTTGCCTTCTGGGACTATTTTAGATCTAAGAGGCAGTTTCTCTGCTAGTATAATCCTGTCTATTTCTCTCTTCTGTTGAGATGGGTGATATCCCATCCGTGGGCCCCAACCACGATCTTGTTACCAAATCATTGTTCAGCTCACAGTTTTAATCTTTAGTCCATGTTTTCTCGGTGTTTGCTATATGGATAGGCTGAGAATTTCCCGAATTTCCAGTTCGGTTTCCTTTTTGATTCACAGTTCCTTGTTGGACTCGGCTCACCCCTTCTGTATTTTATTAAAAGTCAGGTGGAACCAAGCTCTTCCTGCAACAGTTGAATGGCAAACTTCAGATTTCTCATTTTATTACTCCCAAGTTCTACCGGTCACAAATTGCTAGACTATAACTGTATTCTGCCAAGGTCTTTATGGTTAGATATTTAGGACTGCCTCTTCCTCATCCAGCTTTCTTCTTCAGCAGTGCTGGGCATTTAAATAAGTCATGGTAGGCACACATTTTACCACTGAACTACATCTATAACCTTGTTTCTTTATTTGTGTTTTTGTTTGTTGAGACAGGGTCTCACTGGTAGCTCAGGCTGGCCTCCAACTCACGGCAATCCACCTGCCTCGGCCTCCCAAGAGCTGCGATTACAGGTATATACACTTATACTTGGCAGGTAGCCCTGGGTTTTGTGGTACTGGGGATTGAACCCAGCTCCTTCACACTGAGCTACACACCCTTCTCTTATTTTGAGACAAACTCTCCCAAAGCTTTCCTGGCTGGGTTTGGTCCTTCCAAACTCGGCCACTGAGAATGCTGGGATCACAGAATGCGTTACCAGACCTTGGCTTTAAGTTTGGAGAACAGGGTATTGCTCAGTTGTGCAGGGGGACTCAAACTTGGCAGCCTCCCGGCACGATCTCCTGATTAGCTGGGATTAGAGGCATGTGCTACTCCACTCGGCTCTTCTCACGACTTTCCAATAACATGCTCCTCATCCCCAAATGAAAAAAAAAAAATCACAGAACAACACCTAATGTCCTTATTTCTAGTGTGCATTCAAAGACAGTTCAAAGCCTGGTGACGTACTTCACACCTGTCATCCCAGCACTCAGGAGCCTGCGGCAGCAGGGTCACCAGGGATTTGAGGCCAGCCTGGGCTCCACAGTGAGTGAGTTCAAGGCTGGCTTGCACTACGTAGTGAGATCCTGTCTCAAGAAAAGAAATAAGCGGGCCAGGCATGTAGCGCAGTGATGCCTTGCCTGCCTTGAAAGCGCCAGGCCCTGAGTTCGATTCCCAGTACCAAAAAAGAAACACAAGCAAGAAGAAAAAGAAAAAATATATATATATTCCCACTCCATACCTATCGCTCAGGCTCAAAGCTGCTTAAGGTTTCTTTTTTACCGAAACACTACTTGTCAGTACCAATACCTGTCATGATACTTGAGAACAGGTCCCTTTCCCTTCCTCTTATGATAAGGTCACAGCCCTGTAGCGTTAGCTCTGCACCCTTTGGACCTCACCCAACCACACGTTCCCTATCTTCACAGTCACATTGGCGCTTAGATTACAAATACGAATTTGGGGAGGGCCAGGTCAGAGTGCTGACATACACATCCTCTTGGTTTTCTACACCGGAAATCATAGTATCTATAGCTAATGACTGTTATTTTTCTACTTCAATTGCTAGGTCATTTTTTCCCTTCGTAGGACTGATTATGACCTCCGGCACAATACTGATTAGAAATAGTAAAAACAGCATTTTTATCTTCAAAATTCTAATATCCTCTCCAATCAATTGAATCAATGAGTACAGTTTTTTTTTTTAATACCCAGTCTTGCATAAAGGTTTCCCAATATTTCAGAATTTATGAGGCTGAATTGTTGGATTTTTTTGTTGCTTTACCTTCGTCTTCTATCACAGTCATATTCATGCATTGGTAAATCTCAAACACCTAGAATTATGACTGGCTCATAATACATAACAAATACTTGAAAGTGTGAATGAATGAAAGGACTTGCAAATAAATGTGGTCATTATTGATCATTACGATTTTATGATGTCAACCTTTCATTTCTAGATAAACTCAACTTGGACACTATTTCCTTTTTTGTTTTTTGGACTGGGGATTGAACCCAGGACCTTTGCACTGAGCTACATCCCCAGCTCTGTCTTGATTTTGCGACAGGGTCTTGCTAAGTTGCCCAGCCTGCGCTTGGATTTAGTGATCCTCCTGCCTCAGCTTCCCGGAGTGCTGGGCTTACAGATGTGCACCACCATGCTGGGCCTGGATTATCTTTAATATTTAACTTGATATGTTTACTAATGTATTATTAAAAGAAAGCTCTTTGTAGATATGTTTTAGTAACCTTAGCATGTAATTTTTTTGTACATAAGAAAAAAGTAGAGGCTAAGGGTGGAGCTCAGTGGTAGCACACTTGTGCCTAGCATGGGTGAGGCCCTGGGTTCAAACTCCAGCACCACAAAAAAAGAACAAAAAGAAGAAGAAAACAAATTGTGGTGTGAGTGCTTCTCAGAGGTAGAGTATACAAGTACTGGAGCCAATCCCCAGCACCACCAAAATAAGGATGGTACTGAGATGTCGATGCCAGTGTCATAGCTTGTACTGGGGTGTGTTCTTGTGTTTTCTCAATTTGTAACTTTTTCATTGGTAAATTATCCGGATTTACAGCAGCTGTTATTTGTCTTAGGTATCCATTTTTCTACAGTTTTAAGCTGTTTACTCAATTTCTCTTATGGTTATAGGACAACTAAGGTTTCCAATATCTTAAGCATTAATGAGTATATTTTTCTAGGCATGTTTTCATTTTCACATGTGCAGAGAAAACTTATATTTTTAATGTCTCCTTGTTGAATAATTAAGTTTCCTTTGGGCCTCTTTTGCATTTGAGAATGGTTTCTTTGTGCGTTCTTTCTCTTGCGTTCATTTTTCTTTTTTGTGCTTTGTGGGGTTTTTTTGTTTTTGGTTTTGATTTTTTGAGACAGGATCTCACTGTGTAGTTGAGACTGACCTGGAACTCACTATGTAGCCCAGGCTGGTCTTGAACTCACAGAGAGCCTCCTGCCTCAGCCTCCGGAGTGCTGGAATTACAGGTGTGCACCACCACACCCTACTGTGTGTGTGTGTGTGTGTGTGTGTGTGTGTGTGTGTGTTGCTGGGGATCAAACTCAGAGCTGCGTGTAGTAGGTGGAAGTTGTGCCATGGAGGTGTATTCTGAGCCAGGTTTGTGAAAACCTAAGTTTTCTCCTGGGGACATCGCTCCTGGCTTGTTAATTGTGCATGCGGCCCTGACTTCAAACCCCAGTACTGCAAGAAAATAAGAAAAATCTAAACTTTCTGATATGTTTTCTATTCCATTGATTCTGTTCGGTGTTAGTATAGCCATGTGCACTTGCGTTTATTTTCTCTCTTAGTCTTTTTGTTTGTTTGTTTTTGGCGCTGGGGATCATACCTAGAGCTTGCTCAGTTAAGCATATGCTCTACTAAGCTATACCCCTTTCTTTGCCCAGATGTGTCTTTTTATACATACTTTAGCCGAAGATGAAAAAACAACTCTTTAATACTTGAAAACTTCTGACTAACAATCCTTTTCTCTTACCTTGAACATTTATTCCATTATGTATAGCCTAGTTAGTAATAAATTTGGATTTATTTCTAACACTTTGTTTCTTTCTGTTGTCTCCGTGCTTGCAATTGATTATATTTTTCATTGAAATGATTTTGCTCTTAACGTTTGAAATTTATATCCTCCCTTTCTTTTAGTTGCTACCCTTAAAACATTAAATTCATGTCTGAAATGGAAGTCTCTGATAATACCGTTTCTTCCTCCTCAGTCGATAAGACTATTTGTGTGCGGTGTCTCCTGAGCCTCCCACTTGAAAGGGACCCTGAAGTAAGCACAGGCTGTCGCTGTCACTGGACAGAGCTAGGTGGGGAATCAAGATCAGGCCCTCTGACAAAGCCCCGGCACCTCTTGCCTTTTATGTATTTATTTTTTTCCTGGTACCGGGAATTGAACTCAGCACCTGGCACTTGCCAGGCAGGTGTGGCGCCATTGAGCTACGTCTCCGACGCCCCAGCACATCTTGTAACGGATTGCAAAGAGCCACAACTTCTTTGAAATTATTCCCAATTTCCCCCTTTGTGTGAGTTGGTCAGTAGAACGGAGCTATGCCAAGTTCGTCCACAGAAGGCTTTTTGATAATAATCACTGTTTTCAGATACTAGTTTTGGGGGTTGTTTTGCAGACAGTAAAGGCCAAATGAGAACCCAAACTCCTCAAACACAAGCTGATAAATTAGTTCCTCAAGCCATACCCAGCAGAACCTCCAGAACTGACTCTTTTGGGAGCAGTGAAGAATTCCATCAGTGGTCATAAAAGACTAAGCATTCCTCTGACCTGACATAAGGAAAGAAAAATCAAGATTTCAGCTCACCTTCCTCTGCTTAGGCTCCAGGGTCCTCAGCAGAACTGGCGACTACGGAGCAGTCAGCCAGAAATGTAACGCGAGACAGCATTTTGGAAAGTTGATGATGAAGGTGGTAAAAAGAATTCATCCAGGCAAGGATAAGAGTAAGATGAAAATCGACTCAAGCTGGAGAAACTGCCAGAGGGGACACCGGTTGAGTTTCCAAGAGGGAAATCGCCCTGTCAGGGTGAGAGATTGGTGGTTTTATAAAGGGTTGAGGATATGGAGTAAAGGGGCTAGGCAGGAAATGTGATCATCTAAGCAATCTTTCTTGGATCATCTGGGATGCCATGTAGATCTTTTGGGAGCAGCTGAATTGCGTTTAAAATTACAGGTTTAAAGTTGCAATTTTGATGAGCTGAGCGTGGTGCTGCGTGCCTCGACTCCCAGCACTCAGGAGGCTGAGACAGGAAGATGGTCCAGAGCCCGAGACCAGCCTGGACTACACAGCAAGACCTTATGTTGGAAAAAACAAACCAAACCAAACCAAAACAAAAAAGTGCCAATTTGATGATATTTCCTCCGGCCTTCTATCTTAAGATAAGGAGGTCTATGCGTATTGTCTTTTTTTTGTTTTGTTTTTTGAGACAGGGTCTCACTATGTAGTTGAGACTGACCTGGAACTCACTGTGTAGCCTAGGTTGGCCTCAAACTCACAGTGACCCTCCTGCCTCAGCCTCCTGAGTGCTGGGATTACAGGCGTGCACCACCATGCCCGGCCTACGCGTATTATCTTTTAGAGAAGATGGGTCCAGACTCACTGAGAGGAAGAAATGGACCTTTATCTTGTAATGTTCTGGTCACTGTTTCTACCTACCTTTGGATGTTCACCTAGTGGGATGGCTTTAATGTAGCTCTGCTGTTAAGGGTTTCAGTCCTTTGTGGCCAACAGGCACCCTCCACCATCAGCAAAGAAAAATCATTGATAGGCAAGGCGAGGTCACAACCATAACTGCTTTGAGCTGAACTCTGACATCAATGTCATTAGGGGACCCTAGAGTTTCTGACTGTCTAAAGTAGAGTTGCTTATTCCCTGGAGAACAGAGACTCTAGGTTTGTGTAATGAGTCCACA